AGAGCAGAGAAGGGGGAGGGAAGAAAAGGCCACGGAACGGGTATATTTAACTAACTAGTTTCACTTACAGCTCTGCCTGATGAATGACCACGTTTGACATCACTGATAATTACAATACTATCCAGGGCCCGAGAGGAAACCAGGGTGCTGGGCTCTGCTAAAGCTTCTGCCCGTGGCATCTGCTTGGGGAGGGAAATCAAATTTTTTTTTTCTTCTTAGTAAAATTATCTGCCAGAGAAACAATGAAGCGTGAAAAAGTACTGTTTAGCGTGTGCATGTCTACCATAGGCTTTTAAAATGCTGGCTGTTACCTTCTGGGACACTTCCCTTTATACCATTGTATATATCTTGTAAATTTCAGTGGAATTTTTTTTTTTAAGCGATATTACAGGTTGAAAATAAGCGAGTCTATTTGGGTTGGCGCGTGGTAAAGTCAGAAGCACCAGCATGTTTCCTGTGGGTCTGTACCTAAGACCCTCAGACAGGAGGCACAGTTAGCGTAGAGGTTATACATGTAATACCTTTCATCCCTAACACAATCATTTATTCTCTTTTTAAAAAAGGAAATTAAACAGAAGTTAAGAGTTGGCTGTTTTTCATAACTGCAGACAGTAATAATAATAATAATAAAAAATAGAATTCTCATGTAAATTTTATTTTGTGAATACACGGGTAAAGCACATGATCTTGGGGCTTCCAAAATGTGGTACGTCCCACAGATGGCTCCAACTTGTGAGTGGGCTCAGTTCTGCATTTGGAATGAAAGGAATTTTAACACTATTTAGACAAAGCCTCAAATGCAGTGTGAAGGGAAAGCTAGATTTCCTCACATGATTTAAACAACAACAACAAAAATTAGAGACCTATTTGTAATAAGGGCGCTCCGGCAGGATTTAGGATTTTTTGGTAAAAAAAAAAAAAAAGCATGTATTTGTGTTCACCACACATTACATTTCAAATCTTTTTAGGAATTTTTTTTCCCCAAATATGGTTACTTCTTCTAATGCCTTTTATTAGGAGTTAAACTTCTCTTAAAGGCAGCCACCAAAATCGCCTTTTTTTTTTTTGCCAACACCACTTTGTGTTTCTCATATTTGGGTCCAAAACCTGCTTATTATATTGAACTGCCTTGTAGGGTCCTATCAAAACACTTAATTGTTGGACCACTGTATTTTTCTCTGAAGTGGCATTTCCCATAAGATAATTATAATAACTCCATCCTGGTCACTCTTATCTGGAAAATGTGTTTGCCTGAAATCTTGCATCAGATGCTGGGCTCTCTAAGTGATACATCCATTTCTGCTTCTACAGTGGGAGACTGCAAATCTCGTTGGGATCAGACCAAAAAAAAAAAAATCTCTGAAGCAGAGAAGAACAGCTAAGTTCAAGCACATGGAAGAAGGTTTACTAAGACATCTGTTAAAGCAAAATGAAGTGTGGATTCAGGGTCCCTATCCAAGCTAACAGTGAGAGAAAGGTCAAAATGCCCTGTTAGCCTCTGTCTTCGTGTTCTGTGAAAGAGGGGAGGGAGGCGGATACACCGGCCAGAACTCATCAGCGCCAAGCACAACCTGCTTCCCTCAAAATCAGGCCTTCGTTCAGAGTTGCAATATTATCTTTGTTTCCTTTTTTTAAAAGGACAGAAAAGAAAATAAAACAGAAGTCACTGTGTTGGCCTCTATCTTCAAAACAGTGTTGGCTTTGTCTAACAGCCTATTAGCGATCTAGGGGAAGTTGATGAAGAATGCAAACTGCATGAATTTGTAACATTAGTTGCATGAATTTGTGTCATTTTTAAAATAGGTCAGTGCTGTTAGTGAAGGTGGCTCCAGACTCTCCAAGGGATCTTTTCAGGGAGCCCCCACTCACAACCTGTGTTGGGATAAAACACCAATAAATCAAAACACAGCTTTTATTTCAATCAGGCATTATTTTTTCGCTCCTATTCCAGGAGCTAAGGTGCTTTGCAATCATTACCAGCTCAGCTACATGGAGATGCCCTCAGCTAAATTTGCACACGGAAATATGATTTAATAACACAGTTTAAACCCAGATATATACTTGGACTTCTGTACGTGAGAGGAGGATTTTTCTTTTTCCTATTTAAGACAAATGACCTTCAAAGTTAAAAACACAAACCAACAACTTTGATGTGTTCAAAGTGTTGATGTGAAATCTTGTCAGGCCTTGCTAACAAGAAAATCATGGCGTGTGAGGGAAGAAGAAAAATAATCAGTTTCAGCCAAAAGGCAAGAACTGTTTATCTTGACCACCGAATGCATATGTGCCCAAGCCACCTCTGCCAATGCCCTCTTTCTAGGCTCATTTCTCTCCAGATGGGCACGCTGCTGGGGGATCAGTCGCTCGGACGAGGCCGAGAAGGCCCTGCTCACAGGCTGGCATGTTTGTTTGTTTGTTTCCAGCAGGGCAATGGTGTCTCAACTTATTTAAAAACTGAAAACTTTGAGGGGGAGGGGGATTTTCAGAGATCGCAATTTACATTTACATTACATGTACTAATTATTAGAAGGACTGCACTAACCAAACAGCCTGTGTTTCACCCTGAATTATTGCCTCCCTACTTCTTCATTACTCCTACCTCTAGAGAAAAGGATGCCTTTCAAACTTCTAATGCAGAGCTGGGCCCAGTTAAACTGCACACTAAGAAACTGAGTACAGAATCAAAAAAAAAATGCAGTTTATTATTGTAATTATTCTTTCTCTTGATATAACCAGAATTGAAAATGAAAGAAAAGCACATAGGAACATCACGCGTGGTTAGTTAGTAACTCAAGATATAAAACAATTTTGCACAGCAAAATATGTAAAAGAAAAGTAACTGACAAGATTTTTTTATATTTATTGTGGTAAGATTTACTTTTCATTTGTTTTTAAAGACAGGATGTCAGTCCCTGAAAATAACATTTACTGATTATTGCCTTTAAAACTGTGGATTTTTTTTTAAGTTACAGAAAATCCAGTTCTGCACCACAATACAACTGTAAAAAAATCTGCATCATCTTAAAACTGTGCAGTAATGCCATTTTTATAACTGCATAAATTTTATTAGCGTTCTAAACAGTTTTGCAAATTTTTTTTGTATTATATGCTTGCAGGTTATATCTTAGTGCAATTCAGTCCCAAATACTTTAATTTGAAAAAAAAACATACATTTTGAATGTAAAATACCCCTACAGATATAAACAGGGGTGCTTCCCCTTTTAATACTTTGGTTTTCAATACAGTCAGTGGTATAGCAAAGACTACACATACCCAACTTATATTTAAGTTGCAAGCACATGCTGTATAAGCTACTTTTTTTTTAAACAGTCCCCTTGCAAACTCTACCCCCCTTAACATCACAACAGTAAACAATTTAGTGCATCAATCTTTTAAAAAATCTACAGCTAAACAGACCTAACTCTTTCAAATTTATCTATAACATTCCTTTATCTGTAGCATACATTTTAACTGGGCTAACAGATTATAAAAACTAGAATTAAATTATATACTAGAAACCCATAGCATTCCACATTTGACAATGACCAAAAGCCAAAAAAAATAAAAACAAAACAAACCAAAAATAATGGGGCAGATTTCTTTCTCTTAAAAATAAATTTTAGACTGCTTTAGGCAACAGCACAATTTTAGTCCACCCAATGGGGTGGTCATTCTCATTTAAAAAGAATACATTAAGAGTTCTTTACTGTTGGCCTTGTTAAAATTTTTAACCCATTCTGGCATCTTTGACAAGGAACCCCTTCAGTGCATTTACAATGGGAGGCTGAAGTTCTGAGTAACTCAAAGCAGTTTTGGAGCAGATGCAAACTTTCATGGGAAGAAGGCTCTAGGGTTGCACTTTTTTTTTTGTTCTGAACTGAAAAAGTCATGAGGCAATAAAACAAAAGTATGAATGCCAATGCCATAAGTCTTCGAACGTCCATTTCCAAGCCAAAAGGAAAAAAAAAAAAGAAAAAAATAATTATACCATACATGTCCAGCATGCAGGCTTTTTTTTTTATTAATATAATGTCTCTTTTCCATAAAGTCTTTGAAACAGTTATAGTTCATTGTTGCTAAGACAAAGTAGCAAGCATAATAATGCATGAGATGAGAATGAGTTTTTTTTTTTTTTTTAATGGCAGACTAAACTCTCAGATTTGGCATCATAAGGACCAAAACTCACGAGTCACACCCAGAAGGTTGATGCAGGCTTGATTGTGGCAGGTTCATGAGGATTTTTTTTTCCTCTATTTAAGCATAACAATGCTCAAAAAACCCCGATGGAACTCAGCACGCTGCAAGTCTATAACATTTCACATTTTTTTTTCCTTTGCAAGCTCAATCTCATATGAAGAACTCAGGAGGAGAAAAAAAAACTTAGCCTTTTTTTTTTCTTTAATCTCAAAGGAGATGGGTGGCAAGGGAGTGAGGGTGGAGGATGGGGGCAGGGGTCGAGATAGGGGCAACACAGCAAGCTCCAAAAACTCAAAGTTCTTAAAAAAAAAAAATCCAAACAAAATAAAACACACACACAGAAAATGAACACCAGCTCATGAACTGAAGAAGAAAAAAAAATATGTGAATGATGCAGGCTTCAAAGGTGAGCATGAAGAACTCTGTTGAGATCTTTGAACATTGAGCAAGTGAAAGGTGGCGGGGGGCGGGGGGGATGTTAAAAAAAAATACAAACAAAAAAAACAAGCCAGCAAGTTATGGAGAATTTCAGATTGGCAATCCATGAGCCAGACCACCAGCCCCTCCCCGACTCAAAAACAGCCGCCACCACCACCATCATCTCGGAGCAGTGTGTGTGTGTGTGTGTGTGTGTGTGTGTGTGTGTGAAAGGGGGCAACTGGGGGGGAGCAGGGGGCAAGCTCGGGAGGGGAGGGGGCGAGGCGGTGGCGAGCAAGGCTCTTGGAACTGCAAGCCCACACCCGAGCCGGACCCCCACGGAGCGCTTATCAAGGTGGCGAGCTGGGGTCGCGTGTCAGACTCACATGAAAAACTCGGGAGAGGACGGGTTGTCGCTGCTCGAACCGTTTTCTCGGAAGCCGCTGCTCACCAGCTTCTCATACTTCTCCTTGTACGCGTCCCTCTCGCGCACCAGCCTGGAGATCTCCTGCTTAAGGTGGTCGACCTGCTGCAGTAGCTGGTTCTTCTCGGACTCCAGGACGTGCCTCTGCTGCACCCTCTTGAAGCGGCAGGACTGGGCATAGCCGCGGTTTTTCAGGGTCCGCCTTTTCTGCTTCAGCCGGATCACCTCCTCCTTGCTGACCCCGCGCAGCTGCCGGTTCAGCTCGCGCACCGACATGGTCACCAGCTGCTCGTCGGAGAAGCGGTCGTCGAAGTGCAGGCCGCCGGCCGCGGCGTGATGCGGGTGCAGGGCGCCCCCCGCCCCCGCCGCGCCCCCGCCGCCGCCGCCGCCGCCGCCGCCGCCGCCCCCGGCGCTGGCCGGGCCGCCCGCGCCGCCGCCCGCGCCGCCCGCGCCGCCGCCGGCCGTGGCGGACGCGCTGCCCGCGGCGCCCGGCGCGCCGGCCGTCGGGTGGTGGTGGTGGCCGGCGGCGTGGTGGTGGTGGTGGTGGTGGTGGTAGTGCGGGGCCGCGCCGCTCTGCGCGGCGGCCGCGGCGATCACGGCGGACACCACGGCGGCGGCGGGGCCCATCTCCTCGCCGCTGCCGCCCAGGGAGGCGCCGGCGCCGGCCCCGGCCGCCGAGGCCAGCTGCTGCGCCCCGCGCGCGTAGCCATCGAAGCCGGCCTGGAGCTGGTGGCTGTTGCTGATGAGCGCCTCGACCGCGTCCTCGGGGCTGAAGCCCAGCGCCTCGGGGTTCAGCTGCTGCGGGTAGCCGGTCATCCAGTAGTAGTCTTCCAGGTGCGCCTTCTGCTCGCTGCCCGAGCCCGGGCTGGGCGCCGAGAAGCTGGGCGAAGGGGGCACCGAGCTGCACGGCGTGCTCATGGGGGTGGAGGACAGCGAGCCCCCGGCGATGAGACGGCCGCACTGGCTGATGATGCGGTCGGTCTCCACCGGCTCCTTTTTCACTTCAAACTTCATCAGATCGAAGTCATTAACATATTCCATGGCCAGGGGACTGGTGGGCAGGTCGGAGTTGCTCATTGCCAGTTCCGATGCCATTCTCCTGCCGCCGCCGCCGCCGCCGCCGCTCCGCCAGATGGGCTGCAGGAGAGGGGCCAGCGGGCTGTGCTGGGTGGCCAGCGGGTGAGCCAGCTTGCCGGGCTGGGGCGCTTCTAGCTCGCGCGGCGGTGGCTGGCCCGAAACCTCCGAGCGCGCACACACACACACACACACACCCCCGCCGCCCTGCCCGCGCCCCCCGCGCCCGCCCTCCCTCCCCCCCCCGGCTCACGCCAATGTGCTCGCTCGCTCGCCCCGGCCCCTCCTCGCCTGCTCGCCTCCTAGCGCGCGGAGCCGGCGGCTTCAGGCTCGGGAAGGTCCTCCGCGGGCTGCGGTGGCGGTGGCGGCGGCGGCTGCGGCGGCGAAGCCAGAGGAGCCCGGCTGGGTGCGCGGCGTCCCCCGCTCGCCGCTCCGCTGCGCGCTTTGCATAAGGAGGGCTCGGCCCGGCTTGCCGGCCCCGGCTGCAGGCGGGGCGCGCGCGGCGGCCGTTCGGGGCTGCAGGCGCGGCGGGCGGCTGTCCGGGCGGCGCAGGCCTTGGCACGGGGGAGTTAACACTTCATGCTTCTCGCCTCCTCTTCTGCCTGGCTCTTTTTTATTAAAAAAAAAAAAATTTTTTTTCCCTCTCCCCTCGCTCAACCTCGCGCTCTTCCTCCCTCTGTGCAAAGTGCAAGACAGAGGTGCAGCCGGGCTGGAGGAAAGGGAGGGGTGGGGGGAGTTGAGTTCTTTCTTGCTTTTTTTTTTTCTTTTAAAGCGAAATAGCGAAGTCCTGGGGAAAAGGCGAGGCGCGGAGCAAAAGGAGGGAGACCGAGCCGACGAGCAGCCGGAGCTATACAGCTCGAAGATGAAAAAAAAAAAGATTTTAAAGCCTCTGATCCAGCAAGAAGAGTTTAAAGCTATTGCTGAGTTTTATAGCACTCGTGACGTCAGGCCCAAATGGGAAATTGACTGGTACTCCGGACCAATGGGAGGCGGCGGGAGCGCCCGCGATTAGCATAGGAGTCGGGAAACAAGGAAACTTTTCCGAGCTGTCAATCAGGGCCCAATCAGCTGACTGTCAGCTGGGACGGGCAGTCTTAACCCTTCCCGCGCCGCAGCCTCCGCGCGAGGTTGCAAAGCCCGGAGCAAAGTTTGGTGCAAGAGGGGACGGAGTTTTCCGGAGGGGCTGCGGGAACCCGGGTGGACAGCGAGGGCGGTTTGCTTTACTTCGGAGCTAGAGAGGCCTGCCTTCCGGAGCCCCAGCTCGCCTGCCATTCGCTCGGCCACGGTTGGCCTGCTCCCCCCCCCTCCGCCAACCCCTTCCTGACCGCCCCCCCCAACCCCCCACCAGGGATCGTGAATTCGCCGGGTAGATTGTTCTCCTTGCCCCATCTTAGGGCACCCAGGTTTCCGCCCGGGGGGAACCTTCCTTCCTCCAAGCCTGGCAGTGCGCGGAGCGCAAACTTGGAGCCAACTCTTTGTCCCTTTCCCCGGTGCCCGCGCGCGCGTAGGAGCGCAGGGGTCCCCACTGCGCGCTCAACCCCGCCCGGCCGCGCGCCTGCCAGGGCGGCTCCAAGTCCGCGGAGAGAGAACCCGTTTTATCAGCCTCTTTTAAAGGACTTGAAATAAGTTGTTCAGGGGTCATTCCGCGCGGAGGCTGGCTGCCCGCTGACGTCTCCAGTCCTTGGCTGTGGGGTGCGAACGCCTACGCGCATTAACTCCGGGAAAGCTCGGAGTCAGGTCAGCGCGGCTCCTCACCCTCGGGCTTCTGACTCTGGCCCGAGTCTGGCCTTTGGGATTCATTTCTCTCCCTCATACACACACACACATACTCATCCACCCCCTTATGAAATCTGACTCCTGTTTATCAGGGTCCTGCGCGCCCTTTGCACTTTTACATTTCACTTAATTATTTCAGACTTGATCGCGGGGAGGAACGGGGGCGAAAAAAGAACCAACACCCCAGCCTTCACCAGCTCCCCTCGAAGGGTTAAGTTTTAAACCGCGGTTTCTCGGACGGGTCCGGAAACCCAGAGTGGGGGCTGGGGAGGACGGGAGTCGGGGCTGCTTCTCCCCTCGGGGGTGTTGCAGATGCTAATAACTGTTCAGTTTTCTCCATCGATTCTTCTAAAGCTTTGAAAAAAAAAAAAAAAAGAAAGAAAGAAAGACAAGAAAAAGGAAGAAAAAAAAAAAAAGAAAGAAAAAATCAGCAACTCTGTTTCTAAGATTTTAAAGCGATAGGCCAGATGGAGAAGCCGAGATTTATTTGAGGGAAAGCGAGAGGGCGCGGAGCCGACCCAGCGTTTGGAAGACTAGCCTGCCTGCCTGGATGTTGGACTGTTGATTCCTCCAATTAATGAAATGCACTTGGTGTTAATCATATTTATCTTATTTTATGGGAGGGGGAGACGCTAGGAGGGTGCATTAAAAAAAAAAAATCTGAAAAGCCTGCAAAACGGTCGAAGAGTGAAAACTATTGTTGGACCGAGTTGGTTCTTACCTCAACAGCGCCACCTTTCGGCAAAGGTCAGTTGAAATTGATCCGTGTCCAGTTTTGTTGATGAAATGAAAAGAAGCTGGTTTCCCTAGGTGGGAGGAGGAAAGAGGGGCGGAAAGTTAGTTTGGCTGCAAGTGGGAGAACCAGACTTTGTCAGGAAAGGGGCTGAAGGCAGTGATGGCAGGTGCGGGGAAACTTCTTTCCCCCACCGTCCCCTTTGACTGTGGAGAAAGAGCCCAGGGGACCCGGGAGACTTATGCAAGAGGATCCCGTGTAACAAACAGGGCCCCAAACCCTTTTTAAAAAGTGCCAGGATGCACTTTCAATGGGCTTTATGGCAATATCAATAGAATTAAAGTTACTTGTAATTCAGTGATAAATGAGATGTCTCTAGTAAGTAAGATTAAGTGCAGTGCTATAAAGTTGTTTATCTGAAAAGTAATTCTCAGAAAACCTGACTTCTGACACTTAGTCATATATTAAGCCAGCTTCTTGAACATTGCACTTCAGAATGCTCTCACCCACCCGACTGCATACTTTACTATTTATAATGAGACCTTAGGTGTCACTCACTGGCTTCATACACCAGATTAGACTTGTGCTTGTTTCTCTCATGCTGGCAGCCTTGGCTTTCAGCAAACCTGGGAACCCCTAAGGAGTGACTCCCCAAAAGGCTTGTAGGCAAGTCGTTACCCTAAAAGGCCAGCACTGTTGGTATTTTCCAGAAAAGCACTGTTTCTTTTCATCATTACTGCAGAGACCATGTCTGTAAGAGTAGCTTTTGTTTTATGGGAGTACTTTGTTAGGATGGAATGAGATATGTCCATAACCAGTTTGGGGAAGAAAGAGTGAAGATTATGTCAATATTTATGCAGCCTCACAGAATCTCTTTGCTTTCCTCTGTCAAACAGTATTTCACCTAGTAATGAAGTTAAGGGATTACAGTTTATGTATTCAGAGGAAAAATTTACTGCTTAAATTACATAAACATATTATGTCATTAGCATTGTTTATAGCAATACTTTTCTAAGTCTTTTTAAAGTTATTAGCCACAAATGCTTGAAGTTTATATTTTAATGTAAAATATGAATTTCAGTGTACTTAGGAAGAATTAATTCATTTTTTATTACAATTTTTGCTTTAATCCTTTTGCATCAGATTTTTGGTAAAAGCTGTGAGATATGATCCCTGCCACTCATGAAGGTATTTTTGGTCAGGAACACTGAAACTGCTACATTTATAAATAAACAACATTTATAAACAAAGTTCACTAATGAGGAAGATCTTGAGATACAGATTCATGGCCATGCACCTAATTGTTGCAATTATGTATCATTTCTAGAAATTAAATGCCCATGTTTGGGCAGCTAAATGTATTATTATCTGCACATTTTATTTTTGTACACTGCTGTCAAGCCAGGGTATTTTTCTTTCTCTCACTGCAGAGTCTTTTATAGTCTCCCATTTTCTCTTGAAAAAAAAAAAAAGATACAAATTATTTTGTAGACATGGAGCAGTGGTGCTCCCAGGCTTATAACTTAATTTTCATTTTTGTCCTTTTTCCATTATTATTTGGTGATTCACAGGGGTGTCTAAACATTTACAGGCCTCTGTTAGCAGCGTTTCTCTTGTAACAATTGAGCTCTCTCATTTTAATTAGTACTATTCAGGTTTTTGAATCTCTACAATTACAGCAGGCCACATTTCTTTAGATTTCTTTGCTAACATTGTTTGTTTCACTTCTCTCCTAGCCAATATAATCCAAATACAATATGAACTGTGTTTTCTTACTGCTTAATACCCCCGTGCTATATATACTCTGGTAATCTCTGTAGAACAATATAGAGTAATTTAGAAACCACGCGTTTGTCATTATTGACCAATTCAAACCAGTAGCATTCAACTTTCTGAAAGCAGTGAATCTTTATAGAGGAATTTGGTAGGAGGCAGGAGGGCATGGGTCGAATCGCGTAGGAGATTGTGAAACCCTAACATCAGAAACACAGTGTTGGTTTCATGTCAGCACGTACATAACAACTTCATGAAAAAAAAAATTCAAACCCTGTTTACATCCAAATTATAATGATTCAAAGTGAAAAATAATATGGTCTTCCTGATTGTGAGTTACCACTGTTCAGGTGTATCATGTTGGAATGAGACATATATAATCTAAAAAGAACAAGATGCATCAAGGGTAGCGTCTGAGCTCTCTGTTTATCCAGGAGCTAATTTTATGGTGCAGAACTAACCAGTGTCCACTGAATTTCACTCTGAAACTAACTGAATCGATTTGAGGAAAGAGTTGTTCAGAGAACTGGATGATAAGGCATGGCGTGTTCTTAGCTGGAGTGTTAGAGAAATCCTTTTAACAGTCTTCAGTGAGCAGGGCAAGTAAATCACAAATCACTGTTAGCAGATTCATGGAAGAAAATTAATCGAATCAGACGAGATAATCTGATAAGGGTAAAATTGCTGAGGAAACAGTCTTGCCTCATATTGGAGAATGTAAGACAACAGTCTGATTACTAGGAGTCGTTATGAATAGGTGAATTATGTGCTAAATAATCATCAGAGTAAATCAGCATTTATTAATTCTTTTCTCTTTAAGCAATTCACAGTTGTAAGTTAAAGCCGCTCTCTCTTTGAAGACACATCTTTTATAATTTTTATTAGAGGTAATTTATTATTTGCATTACCTGTATTTACTTCATAATTGAACATTTTGCATTCAAATTTATGTAATGCATTATGCTTGAGAATATATTTCTGCCTGATTAGCATAAATAGTCACTTACCTCATGAATTACTAACAAAGTTTATCTTAAAATATAGGTTTTTTTTATTAAGTGGAACACAAACATATGTACAATAAATTCTGATTTTCCGGTGCAGTTAGAGAATGGCTCACATTTGGTTTCAGGGAAGCCAGGCTTTAAGGGGAGGGGAGTAATCATGAGGAGAGAGCAAAAAATAGATAAATCAGATTTGGAGGTTTCTCTGGGGGCGGGTATACCATTTTGATGGGGGGTTGTGCCTGGTGGGGGGCAGGGGGACAGGGCA